AGCCATAACCCGACCAAAAGCACCCCGGGGAGCAGGGGCAGTGGAGTGGGTGCAAACACCCACCGGGGCTTGGTATGGGATGTTTGTGCTGGGGTATAAACCACATTTCACCCCACGGCCAGCCCAGCCCGCACCGTGCTGCCCTCCAACAGGCATCCCCCCTCCCTGGCCCACCGTCCTCTGCCCCAGCCCGCTCCCAGCCTTCTCCTCCTCGGTGTCTGGGAGCAGAGAGCTGAGCTGCCCAGGGGAGTCTGGTCCTCCCTGCGTGGCGGAGGGGCTTCCCAGGGCCTGCGGGAGGAACCATGCAGCGGTGCAAAGGGACAGGGGGCAGTGCAGAGGGACAGGGGGCAGTGCAAAGGGACAGGGGGTGCTGCAAAGGGACAGGGGGCAGTGCAAAGGGACAGAGGGTGCTGCAAAGGGACAGGGGGCAGTGCAAAGGGACAGGGGGTGCTGCAAAGGGACACGGGACAGTGCAAAGGGATGCAGAGCAGTGCAAAGGGATGCGGGGCAGCCACGTCCAGCCCTTGCTTCCAGCGTGGGGTGGAGGGAGGGAGGGGACATGGTCCAGCTGTCCGGGATGCCGCTGTCCTCCCCTTCCCTTGCTCCACTCAACGCTTAATAAGGACAATTCCTCTGGTGCCCTACAGCCCCTGTGCTGTCCCTGGGCATTTCTCCTGCTGCCTCTCCCTGCCAGCTGTGGGCAGGGGATGAGGGCACAGCTCAGCCTGGGCACCCGTGTGCTGGTACTGGCAGCCCCATGTCCCTACAGGCAGGCTGGGGCACCAGGGACCACGGGGGTTGCATGGGGACAGGCACTCAGGAATGTTGTTTTTTCCACCCTGGTTTCCGTCAAGGTAGTAAATCAGTGCTGCAAAAGGCTTTTGTTTTCCCCAGCACGCTGCTGGCTGCTGTGCCTGCCAGCCCCTGCCTCCCCTGCAGGAGCCAGGATGTGGCCATCCTTGCCCACACTCCCAGGGCTCACTCCAGGGATAGGGTCTGTCCTGGGCTGGTGAGGCTGGGGTCCTGTCATGCCAAGGGAGGTGACCTGGCACCTCCTCTCTCCTCCTGGAAGGGATTTCCAGGGTATCAATCACAATTCCCTTGAGCCCCTTCCCTGGGTGCTGGAGCCCCTCAGAGAGCCTTTGGCCCCTGCGGGGAAGGTTTTTCTCCATCCTTCCCACACAGCCTGGCTGCATCCCTCCCATTGCCACCCCCTCCCTGCTGGGAGCAGTCCCCATCTCCCATGGGAGGATGTCGGGGTGGCATAGGGTGACACCGAGCTGGCCCCAGCCCTGCAAGGCTTTACGGCTTAGCAGTGGGGTCCTGGTGCAGGGGGGTCTCCCCGCCGTCAGCTTGGCCATGCTCCCCCCCCACACCTCCTGGCAGGCATCTTGGCAGCATATCCCGGCCAGGTACCCAGGGAGCAGGGGGGGATATTGGATTGCAGCAGATGGGAGAGAGTGCGGGCACAGGGTGACCCAGGCACGGCTCCAAATGCCGCTGGGTGACAGCTACACCGCAAAGACGTCTCCAGTATCAGCTGCGCCCGTGCTCCCTTAAAGAAAGACGGGGCCCCCCCGGGGACATGTGGTTGCCCTTTGGGGATGCAGCTGACCCAGGCGCTTTGCCCCGTGTGGTGCCACGGGGGAAACCTGTGGCACGGGGGGGGGGTGAAGGAAGGTGCCCAGCTCCCCCGAGGGACATTCAGCTGCTGGCACAGGAAAGGTGTGAAGATCCCCAGATGTATAGGTTGTGGCTGGGCTATTTTGGAAAGGGACGGAGCCGATCTTGTGACCGGAGCTGGGGACTGCAAGTCTGGAGAGCAGGGTCCTGCCTGAGTGACAGCCACCCGCTGCCTGACCTGGGGGAAACCCGAGAGCCCCCGCGGTGCTGGGGGCAGCTTTCGCACCCCTTAGTGATGATGAAAACCAAGTGCTGGACAGTGATGTGGCTGGGGACAACACGGGAAAACGGGGACCAGAGCTCAGGCGTGGGTGCAAATCCAACCCCCGCTCTGTGGGATCCCTATGGCCAGGCCACCTGTGGTCCCCAGGGCTGTCCTGGAGGTGCACCCCATTTTTTTACAGCTGTGCCACCTCCTGCCCCTGCACTGTGGCTGGGACAGGACCAGCCCAGGCCACCGCGGTCCCCTGGGTCCCCCGGGTGGGTGCCGGGAGCAGATGGAGGCGAAGGCTTTCTGCAGGCCCGGTCTCCCTCAGGCTCGGGAGCCTGAATGCCAGCAACGCCTGCCAAAAATATTTGTGTGGGAGGTGGAAAGTTAACTTTAGTTTTCCTTTTTTCAATGGCGGGGGGGGGGCAGGGGGTGAGAAAGGCAGGCAGGGGGGCTGTGCATAACCCGCCAGCGAGTGGGCAGGGAAAGATAGCCGAGCAAAAGGTCTCACTGCCGCCAGATTTTAGCACTTTGTGAATTGAAGAATTTATTTATTTTTTTTATTCTTTCCTCCCCTGGCACCATTTTGCAGCTTCTCGTAGGGACTCGCTGCTGCCAGGGAGCGTGAGGGGCTTCCCCTGGGGGGGGCATGGCTGGTTTGGGGCTGTGAGCTGGGCACCAGCACCCAACTTGAGCATCCCTTGCTCCCCAGCTTGGTGCTGCACATCTGAAACTGTCCCCAGAATGACCCTCGCCCCTTTACAGCTTCATTCTGCAGGTGGGGGTCTGCACAGGTGGGCGGTTGCCATCTCAGCCTGGTTTTGTTGGATGTGGCTGGTGATGCTGCTCCTCTTTGCTGGTGCAATGATGCACCCGGGGCGTGTATACCCGTCCTACCCGGCCGGTCTTTGAGCAGACAGGATCAGCCCCACGGCCTTTGCTAGACATGCACGTTACCCATAAATATTCCCTTCCTGTGCTGCTTGCAGAGCCCGAGCCGTGTCCCAGGGGGAAGGCAGCCACTCTGCCAGCAGCTCCACCACCGTTCCCCCGCCGCGGTGCCGGGCTCAGACTGGCCCCCAGCGAGGCAGCAGACTCGTGACTTGGTATTTTGGCAGCGTGGGCGGCCCCATCCCCGCAGTGTGTCCTCGGGGAATGCCGCTGCTCAGGTCTCATCAAGGAGGGGTTTGCCCAGGGAACGCCAGGATCGTGGGCACCCATCCCTGGGATATGCCCATCTGCAGAAAGCGCTCCCAAAATGGAAGGGGGTGGCTTTGGAAGATGGTGTTCAGGGCGGTACAGGCTCACTCAGCAAACTGTCAAGGCAGCTCCGATGTAGGATGGGTGGGAATCGTGCCTCCCAAGAAACCTTCTCCCTAGGAATGGGGCGAGGGGGCGGGAGCAGGAGGGCAGCAGAGCCTCTCGGAGAGGATCTCTGCTGACCCAGGCTGGGCTGGGGCTATTTTCAGCAGCTTTCTCTTTGTCCTCATTTGAGATAAGGCAGCACCTTCCAGCTCCCACAACTTGCCATGTTTCTAAGGAAAGATGTGGGTGGCTTCCTGCAACTACTGGGGCCCCGAATTACGTAAAGAGCGGGGTGAGATTCCTTTTTCAGAGAGAAACATCGAAATTTTCCCCCCAGGATCTCCTTGCAAATCCGTGTTGAATAATTGCAGCAGAGCAAGGCAGGAGGAGGGATTTCAGAAAGGGCAGAAGATTTCCTTTGGGCATTCCCAAAAAAATGCAGCCTTGCATTTGGGAAATGCCTGAGTGCCTGTTCGGCAGCAAAGCCTCCACTGGCTGTTTTCAAATCTGCCTTCATTTCCAAAATAACCTTGCTAAGGACGGGAACAGTTTGGCAGACAAGCTGTGTGAGCCCCAGATGAAGCTTCAGGGTGTATTCCTGCCTGAGCTCAGCCCGCAGCATCGACCTAGTGCATTTTCTTATTTCACTGAAAAATCTTGCAATAACTCATGGAGGATTTGGGGTCGAGCAGAAACCACTTTTCCTCCTCGGCCAGCTGTTAGGCTGGGAAATCCATCACGGCCCGTGTGCCATGGGCTCTGTGGGTCTCCCAGCAGTGCCTGGCGGGCGCTTCCCTGGGACCTAGCCTTGCAGTGCTTGTGGCCGGGCAACGCCGGGCTGCGTGGCTGCAGAGGACTCACGGCGCAGGAATTTCCCCCGTATGCTGTAACCCGTATCCTGCCCCGGGAGCGATGACATCCCCCTCTCCCAGCTGACACCTCGCCTCTTGGCTGTGTCTTTTTTTCTCCATTCAGCAGGATTTACGCTCAGCAGAAGGGAAGCGGGTCTGCCTGCGCTTGTCCCAGCACCGCGTGAGTCACGCAGTGGTTAAACATGGCTTTGGTAGCTGGATGCTGGCAATTTCACTTCCCAGCGGGATGGAGGTGGGAGCCAGAGCTCCTGCTAGCCCCAAGCACATCCCTGTCTGAAGGAACAGGCTTCTTCCCTCAGCGCTCCCACCTCCTGAGCAGCAACCGTCCCCCAGCACTGGCCACAAAGGGGGGGGTCTCTGTGGCCACATCTGGGCTCCTAAAGCAAAGGGAGCCGGGCACCCTGCTCCAGCCCTGCGTGGCATTGGGGGGGCTGCTGGGGTGGCTGTGGGGGGCATTTCCAAATGAGCTGGATTGGAGTGTTTGCATCTCAGGGGATCCTTCCTTGTGGGGAGTGGTGCTGGGGCTGGAGCCCAGGCTGGGGACGCCCAGACCTGCTCCACTGGCTGCAGGCAGAGGAAATCAGTGCACGCACGATCATCCTCAATGCTCCCCCTTCCTTTCACACAGGTCTTTAGATGCTGCTCCTCTGCCCACCTGGACAAGAGAAATTCCTGCAAAATCCTCTTTGGCGACGTGTGTCCTCCAGGCAAATCCCTGTGGCTGGGTCTCCAAAAGCTGCCCGCTCCTGTGGCATCGTGCCTGGTCCTCCTGCCTGCAAGAGGAGTAAAGCTGGGCTTGCGCCCGGCACGTGGCCACCTTCCCTCTCGGACACTGCCGTGCTCCGAGGGACGCTGCCGGGGAGGACCCAGACCCTGGCCATGCGGAAGGGGTTTGAAAGGCGGTGGAGTGCCAGCGAGGGAAAGCAGCAAAGATGCTGAAGGCAACGCTCCGGCAGCCCTGCCTGCAAACCCAGCCCAGCTGCCCCACACCCGTTGAGGCTGCGCAAAACCTGTGTGTCTGCGGGATGGCCGAGAGGGATGCCGAAGGGAACACTGGCTGCCGACAGGAGACGGGGAGCAGAGGGGGGCAGAGGTGCCGACAGCTCCAGGATGCTCCTGCCTCCGAGCTGGTCGAGCAGGAGGGATGGTTGGGGCCACTGGGAGGGACAGGGCTCAACGGGGCTGCGCCGGACCCTGCACTGGATGGCAGCAACCTGGCCTCAGTGGCTGAGCCCGCAGCCCCCCCAAAATGCCCTGGCTCTGCCCCAGAGCTGCCCCCCGCAGCGGCCACCCCTGTAGCTGACCCCAGCCAGGAGTGGAAAGTGGTGAAGATCCAACGGGTCCTCATCAACCCCACCGGCGAGCTGAGGAAAGCAGGTAAGAGAAACCCCCTTTGGCACCACCTCGCACCCCAAAAAGCACTGCTGTGATCCCAGTGCCGGAGCTGCTGCTGCCCAGCACAGCAGTGGGAACGCCCGGCTCTTCCCAGGGCAGGACCTCCGCTGAGTTAGAGGTCCCTGGCTCCCAGCGAGCTGCTGGGACTTTTTTAGCTTGAGATGATCTCTCTGGCCTTAAAAATAAGGAGGAACCCGTGGCTTTTCTCAGGAGGAGGCTGGGAAGGCAGGGGGTGGGTTCCTGTGGCCCCAGAGCTCAACCGAACCCTGAGTGTGGCACGAGTGGGGTGGGCTTCCACCCTGGGGCCTCGGGGCTCGACGGGACCCTGCTGAAAGGGGGGGTGACCAGGACCAGCTCCTGGGGCACTGCCTGGGACAAGGGACACCACTCCCTGCTCGGTCGGGGCGGGGATGGCCAAGCATTCGTTACCTGGCTCAGGGCCATCCCTCTTTTAGTTGCTGTTTTCAAAATTAAGCGCTTTATTTCAGGCTGGTTGGTTCCTACAATGCTCTTTGCCGTCGCCTCGCTTCACAGCCCTGTTTTGCAGCCATTCCTCTTGGCCACTGTCCCTTTGGCCACGGTGACACAAATACAGGCGCATATCAAGGGTGACCACGGCCGCTCCCGCAGCCAGACCTCCCCACCCGGGGGAGATGCTCCCACAGGATTAGACCCATCCTCTTACAGGCATCGGAGCCATTTTTAAACCCCGCTTCCACCCTTTCTATTTTGCTCCTGCCCAGCTGCTATCTCAGCTGCCACGCGGCGCCGGGGCAGGTGTGTCACCGTCCCCGAGGGATGGACTTATCGGACGCTGCTGCTCTGCTCAGAGCCTGGTTTTCCCAAAGCAGCCCCCAGGATGGGGAGGGACGAGACCGGCTGGGGATGCTCAACATGAACCTGGTGTCCTGAATCTGTCCCCCGCCTTTCTGGGGTGTCAGATGTCCTCAAAACCAGCGGCTCCCTGGATGGTACAGGGGCTGGGAAGCTCAGCAAAACCCTTTGGCTTGCTGCTGCCCAGCAGCTCCGCTGGCCGCACGGGCGTCGTGTTTCAGGGCTCAGCACACAAACCAGGCAGACCCAAATACTCTTCCCATATCTCTCTCTGCTCTGGGCTGGCAGATCTGCGGCGGGGAAAGGTCAGGCCTGACTCTGTCCAGGCTCAGCATTTTCCTAACCCGCGCCACCATCCAGGGCTTTTGCTGCCAGCCTGGAATTTTAAAGTAACTCAACAGGTTTGTTGGAAAGAGTTTGTCTGTCCCGTTTCCTCCCCCTCCAAGTGAGATCACCACCAGCCGCTGCCTGCGGGACCCGTCAGACTTTCCAGAGCCTCCTGGCAGGATGTTGCTGAGGGTCCTGAGCACTGGCAGCAGTGCTGGGACCTTGCATAAAAACCCTGCAGGTTTGCGAAGGAGAGGTTTGGTTCAGAGCAGGGATGGTGGCAGAGGAGGAAGGGCAGGCAGGTCCCTGCGCAGGAGCCGCCTCTGCAGCAGGGTGTTTGCCGGAGCATCCCTGGGGGTGTTGGGGATTTGCTCCTCTTCTTCTTAGCTGGCTGGGGGTAAAATACACACACACACACGCAACTCCTGCAAGAGAAAGGGGTGCATCCATCTGCACCCAAAATCGTGGAGGGATGGTCCTGCGAGCTGGGAGCCAAGCAGGTGCCCCCTGAGCGGTGCAGAGCCACCCATGCAGGTCCCGGGTGCCCCTTTGGTCCCCGTCCAGCAGCCCAAGGCCAGGCTGGCTGCTCCCAAATATCCGGCACAGCGGCCCAAGCTGGTTGGTACCTCTCAGGGCAGGCTGGGGAGCACAGGAGCCCCAGGTAGAGACAGCGGCTGCCTGCGAGCTGGGAGCCAAGCAGGTGCCCCCTGAGCGGTGCAGAGCCACCCATGCAGGTCCCGGGTGCCCCTTTGGTCCCCGTCCAGCAGCCCAAGGCCAGGCTGGCTGCTCCCAAATATCCGGCACAGCGGCCCAAGCTGGTTGGCACCTCTCAGGGCAGGCTGGGGAGCACAGGAGCCCCAGGTAGAGACAGCGGCTGGGAGATGCAGGAGGCAGGACTGGTTTCTCTGTCTGGTGTGCAAATAAATGGAAGGTTTCGCTCCCTGGGGGCTGCCGAGCCAGCGCCAGTCTCCCTCAAAAACCAGAAATGCACAAAAAAGCAAAAAGGGCAGGAAGAAAGGAAATTAGAAAGGCAAAAAATAAGGCCAAGAGCTCATCCTGCGGTGTGGACAGGAGCGGGAAGAGGGTGAGGCTGGTCCCACCCGCAGCAGTGCCCGGGAGCTCTGCAGCCCCAGCGGGAGTGGGGTGCTGGAGGGGGGAGGCGATGCTGGCTCCCCAGGAATCCTCTCTCCCAGGGCTGCTGTCCCCCCCCGTCATGCGGAACTGACCACCTCGGGCAGAGGGCTTTCAGTGCTCTTCCCCATGGGTCCCCAGGGCGGTGACACCGGTGCTGGATTTTTGCCCAGCTCCAAGTGCCCCAACTCTTTAGGTGCGGAGGAAACCGGCAGCAAGGGGAGGCCCTGCTGCCCCACCAAGGAAGGTGCTGCGGGTCCCCAGCAGTGCTGGGAGGAGGGAGAGGGGGTGAGGGATGGGGTAGGGGGGATGCTCAGGGGGGATGCTCAGGATTGGGTAAGGGGATGCTCAGGTCTGGGTAGGGGAGATGCTCAGGGCTGGGTAGGGGAGATGCTCAGATCTGGGTAGGGGGATGCTCAGGGGTGGGTAGGGGGATGCTCAGGGCTGGGTAGGGGAGATGCTCAGGGCTGGGTAGGGGGATGCTCAGGGGTGGGTAAGGGAGAGGTGCGCGGCAGGGGTAAGGGGATGTGCGGGGCTGGGCAAGGGGGTGCCCCAGGATGGGGTCAGGGGGTGCCC